ATCACTTCACTTCAGTCTACTTCGTTCCACTTCACTCCACTCTGCTGCAGCTCTGTCCAAGCCACCGCACCTCAATCCAACCCAACCCAACCCAACCCAACCAACCAACTACACTTCACTCCAATCATAGTCAAACCTGCTAGTCACTGAGGCTCCACACAACAAACAACTATCACCTTAACTACGTGTCCGCATTAGCGTGTTGTGCTGGCACTTCTCCCACACCAGGACGTGAGACTTGAGCACAATTTACTCCATCTGACGACTGAATGATGTGAGAAGTTGGAGGAGCACGACACTACTAGTTATGAAAGTCTGCAATAGTCAGTTCTGTGTCAGGGTCACCCACACACAGACGAGGGCATACAGACTCTCCTAGGATGGTTCAGAGGTACTGCCCAATGCTGCCATCGCAAGCCTCCCTCAGTGGAGGCGAGAAGGCGGATGGGGTGAGTGGATGTGGAGGGAGGTGGCAAAGTGAGGTGTGAGTGCAACCACCACCTCTCGAGACTCCTCCCTTTACACCCAGAAGTGCCAACTCCACTCAAGCACCTACTCGATGCATGCAAATAGCGTAGACAAGATTGGCGTCACATGGTTGTGGTAAAAAGGTGATGCAGGTTCGTGGATGTGCATGTGGTTGCAAAAATTGGTGCCGCACAGTCATCTGATGGGCAGGCATTGACGCGACGTACAAGTAAACTGGATGCTCGGTCTGCAATCAGTCGGATGGTTGTTGTGTCAAGTGACGGTGCCTCCTCATCATCAACGCCAATTGTTGGTGCTCCCTCTCCACCGTTGCAACCGGTCTGTGCTCGTGCTGACTCTCAAATGGAGTGGTGTGGAATTGTGACCCACCCCTTGGTCGAGGCAATGATTCAAGTGATCAAGTGCAGCATCGTGCCACCAGCGCCACTTCATGATCCTTCAGCACCATGCCAGGTGTTGACCCTAGTACGTCCGTGCGTTGTGGACAACCTCCTTACTCTGCAATCCTTGGACGCAGTAGTGCTCACTTTCGAAACAGTCCAGCATGGTGCTCAACAGGCAGTCCGCATGCTCTCGTGGAAGCACGTACA